AATAATAATAATAATAATAATAATAATAATAATAATAATAATAATAATAATAATAATAATAATAATAATACCATACAATATTCATCCCTTTATAGGAGTGCCATGCAGTAGTGGGATTCAAAAATTTTTACTACCATTTCTGGCCGTGGCTTGGTGGGTGTGGTGTGGCTTGGTGGGCATGGCAAGGGAAGGATACTGCAAAATCCCCATTCCCTCATCACTCCAGGGGAAGGATACTGTAAAAACTCCATTCCCCACCCCCACCCCACTAACCTTCTTTCCAGCTCCGTTCTCCTATGCAGGGCAACCAAAGAAGACCCAGCCGATCAGCTGGCACTTGAGAGGCAGAGAATACTTTGTGCGGGGGGGGGGGGCAGTCAGATGTGGTATTTGACGGTTCTCTGAACTACTCACAATTTCCGCTACCGGTTCTACAGAACTGGTCAGAACCAGCTGAATACCACCTCGGGTGCCATGGGATTATTTTTTGAGGAAAAGAAACCCCATGTATTCCTTGATTATAATACTTACCTTGTATGTATTTTTAGTACTCTATAGTAAGTCCCACTGAATAGTTAGATTTATTCCAAACACATATAGGAATAAAAACCAGCCCAGCCCTGTGAACTGGAGAGGAAGAAACCAAAGGTATTTGTGAAGCCCAGTTATGTTGACACTCTTTTTCTACTATCACCCTCTCCCTTTCGTCTGCACTGATTTTTCCCTCTCTCATTGGTTTCAGCAGAAGAAAATCACATTAGATTTACAAAAAGGATTACTTTTCTCTTGTTTCAAGGCTGAGTCCAGGAAGTAGAGAGGGGCTTGAATTAGGCAATTACAAACTTTCTGCTCCCATACATATTCTGTTTTTGCCCCCCTATACTGTTAGAGCTTTAATGGAATTTTATCTCCTTTTCTTCACTGGCTCTCCCTGAGGAAAAAGAAGTCTCTGGAATCCAGAATTGTTGTCTCTTTAAAGAACAGCAAAATTGATTTTATTCTGAAAAAACTAAATGCCCCTCATCCACCTGACAGCTACTCAGCAGGCATATTTAAGTCTACAAATTTAACATCTTATTCTCCCGCTGAGGCAAATCATACCTATTTAACTAAAGCCATTAAAGCTACAGAATCTCTCTCTGGAGAAAAAAAAATGTGCCAATCTTAGTTGGAACATGCCTTGCACTAACTAACATGGTGCTTCTAGATTGCAAGGGTTAATTGCTTGTGAGATGTAATCTGGGCCAAATTGTATCTAACTAACATCACCATGTTAGTCAGTTAGATACAATTTGCCCCAGATCACATTTCACAAGCAATTAATCCTTACAATGTAGAAGCACCTATGACCTGACTTTCAAAATTAATACTCTGATCCTTAGGAAATCATGGGCCAGAAAGAGAAGCCTGCTAAATATTTTGCATTATTCTGTAAAGTAGTTGAATGAAAACCACTCCATTTCTGCTGCTAAACAGGCTTTCGAGTAAGTTACTAACATCTGCATTTTCAGTAAACAATTATACAACTTCATCTAAAGTGTTTATGGAAGTAGAAAACTCCTAACAATTACCACTGTAACTCAGTGTCACGTATCCATCACCTTCCTTAGCTGGCTGGTGATGTTACACAGCAAGTTTACCAAAGAACCTGTATATGTTATAACTGATCTTATTATTTATTAAATTTATATGTCTCCCATTTCCCCAATAAAGCAATTATTATTGTTCCCATGTAAAAATGAGACTATTATAGATATATAATCAGAATATATACAGTATGTTTAACACCCGATTGAGACAGCCAATCCAGGAAGACATTGTGATCACAGGATCGCAGGGTTTCATCAGAATTATGAAAGCAACATCTCACTGAAAGTTTTGCCCTTTTGTACTTGTGTGACATGTCTCAAAACACTACAACTGGAGTGAAGGTGACAAAACAACAGTGTTATTGTCACTCGCCACTCTCACCCTCATGATGCCTCTAATGTTGGTTGATGATATTGCTAGGGCTTGTGGTAGAGGAGAATTAACACAGTCACATTCATTTCTCCAAAATGACAAAACCAGATCTGAATTCTAATGGAAAAGGATATTTCAACAACCAATAACCAGAACATGAGTTATCCCAGAACTATCTACATGATCTAGATTCAGGTTACATTTCTAGCAGTCTACATAGTTTCTTTCAAAGTGGATAGCAATCTCTCAAAAAAGAACGGACATCTTCCTTCCAATCATTTATAATTGCCTTTGAAATAACAGGCAGCAAAAAGCTTTTCAATCGTTTCTTATTTCTGTTGAAGAAAAGACAAACTTGGATACATGCTGTTAGGTGCTCATAATAGCACTTGTATTATGACAAATGCAGGGACACGTTTATGTGCTCCGTTTTCAGGTCTTCAACTAATCTCTGGCAGTTTCTGAAGAGGTTCCTTCTTGGTTGTGACTGTAGCATGAAGAGATTCCAGCCTGTAGAATCTCATGCTTTCATTCCTAATCATGAAAAGGACAAGGTAGACTTCTCCCAGACCTCAAGGAGAAAAAGGAAATTAAAGCTCGCTGCAGGATTTCCCAAACCCATATTCAAATTCATAGACAGGTGCACTGCTGTTTGCTGAGTTAAATATTGTTATTTTATACATAGTATTTAGGAAATAGTTAAAGAAAGGGTACTTAATAAGGTGAATACTGCATATGCAAATCCATTCAAATTTGGATCAAGATACTAATAAGTTATCTGGGATCATGTGACATAATCTAATAACTACAGTATGGCAAACTGTTATGAAATATAGTTAGTCAATATTGTGATACATCTTCTTGTCATTTTGTACAATTAGTTTGAACCCAGAAGATGCTCCCTGATTAGATTTCTGTCCCTCTTCGCAAGAAAATAAAATTCATCTCTGCATGAGTTTTTGACTTTTCTTTTCTACTAATTGTTTGGAAAGTACAATGTTTTTAGTAAGACTGTATCCAGGAAATGATGTTCCATGAGTCATCCTGTCCAATAACATTAGATCAGAAAGCACACTCAAATGTATTTAGAAGTGACCTCCAGCTGATACCTTTTGATATGATTTAATGTTGTTATGTATCCTTTGTTTCCCCAGGCAATGAGAATTCCAGAAACCATGTGTTCATTATTTCTTTCAGATGAAGGAGTATGGGAGAGTTAATATTTATTTTATTTATTGTTATAAAGACATAACCGTATCAAATAGTTTACTCCAATTAAATTGCAACCCATGAAATCTTTGTCTCTGTAAGACTTTTTCCATCTGTATTTAAAATGCAAAGTGATATTTTAGTATTCTGTTGCCATTTCTCTCTAGCTGAGTGGATATCTCATTTTAAAAGCTGTTCTTAGTTCATTTTAGACTATCAACTTAACAAAGGGTGGGAAAGATTACTGTTCTAATAGTCGCTGTAAGGCGCATATGTGTAGCAAGAAATAATGTTCTGTACATATGTATTGCACCTATTTACAAAAAGCAGGAAGGAATGATTTTAGGAGGAAACTGTTCAAGTAAGGACAACTTTGTTCTTCTGACTGGAGCATCAAGTGGCTTGTCTCCAGTCTGTCCAGCAATAGGATCTAATATTAATCCTGCAGAAATTCTGGCTGTGTGCAAAACACATATCTTCTTTTGCTCATGATGTTTCATTAAGTAGCAAGCCTCTATGGACTCTTAAATCAGACTCTTAAATCTGATTTATTTTTTTTCCCCCTGTAGTCCGAGATCGTGTACGATCAAAAATGGAAAGAGACATTTTGGCTGAAGTGAATCATCCTTTTATTGTAAAACTTCATTATGGTAAGTTTTCTCTAATATAGAATTCATATACATCTATGGGCATTTTCAACTGGATATATCATGCTGTACTGTTCAGAACCATAAACCATTAACCATTCAACCAGGCATTATGTTTTGTCATCTATGATGGACAGCTTAATTTTATAAGTAAAGCATCCTATTATGGTTTGTTCAAAAATCCATAGTTAAAATAAAGAGCCAGAGACAGTTTGATGTAATAGTATCAAAGTAGAAACTGGCAGATCGTGAGTTTTAGTTCTTCCTCGGGGCCAAAGTCAGCTGGACAATCTTGGACAGGTACTCCTTGACTTACAACCACAACTGACTCCAAAATTTCCATTCCTAAGCAAAACCCATTAAGTTGGGCCCCATTTTACAACTTTTTTGCCACAGTTGTTAAGCGAATGACCGCAGTTGTTAAGCGAGTCTGGGATTCCCCCATTAACTTTGCTTGTCAGAAACCAGCTGGGAAGGTTATGAATGGCAATCACATGACCCCAGGGTGCTGCAACTGTCATTAATACATGCCAGTTGCCAAAGTGAGTTTTGATCATGTGGCCATGGGGATGCTGCAATGGTTGTAAATGTGAGAACCAGTTATAAGTCACTTTTTTCAGTGCTGTTGTAACTTCAAACAGTCACTAAACAAATGGTTGTACGTTGAGGATTACTTGTATCATGTTCTCTTCGCCTAGGACCATGTTGGCGAACCTATGCCACACGTGCTGGAAGTGGCACGCAGAGCCATTTCCCCCAGCATGCGAGAGGTCGCCCACTGCACATCTGCGCGTGCTGCCGCCCGACAGCTGATTGTTGGGTATCTGGTGCGCATGAGCAGGGGCAGAGGGGGGTGCACGGGAGATGCAGGCATGCACAGGGATGCACTGCATGTGAGGAGATCATGCATGCATGCTCAGACATGCTGCATGTGAGGAGAGAAGGCGCACGCATGCGCAGATGCACTGCGCGAGAGGAGGGAGTCATACGTGCATGCGCAAAGATGCATGGCACTCAAGAAGGGAATTGCATGCACATGTGCAGATGCATGGCGCATGAGGAGGGAGTTGCATGTGCATGCACAAGGACGCACGGTGCACAAGGGGGAATCATGTGCGCATGCACGGATTTGCGGCGCACGAGGGGAGTCACGTGCGCATGCACAGGGGGCATGGGGAGCAGGATGCATTGCCTTCTGAGCGCATGCAAGCGAGCATGCGCGCAATTATCGGCACGGGAGCCGAAAAAGGTTAGCCACCACTGGCCTGGGAAGAAGGCAGTGGCAAACCACTTTTGCAAAACCTTCCCAAGAAAACTTGTCCATGCAGTCTCTGAAAATCTCCATTGAACGAAAGAAAAAAAATATGTCTGAACCCATCTTATTAGAATTATGCATAATAATGATGAACTCATTAGCCACATCTAAGCTCACTCAATTACAATCTGTGTGGAGCAGGGGTGTCAAACTCGCCTTGTCACAGCAGCATCACGTGACGAATCAGGAGTATTATTATTATTAAAAACTCAGCATTTTCTTCATTGCAGCATTTCAAACAGAAGGAAAACTGTATCTCATACTAGATTTCCTGCGAGGAGGGGACCTTTTTACCAGACTTTCTAAAGAGGTAAGTCCAGTAAAGTAAATGTTAATGTTTGAAAACAAAGCAAAATAATAAATTGTTGTCTTTGTGTTCCTTCATAGAAGAATCCATCTTTAGGGTTTCTCCTTTGTATATGATCTGCGAATTTGGCACTTCATTTTCGTGTAATTCATTTAATAATATTAATTTAATATTTATTAATTATTTAATTCAAATAAGCCTTTTTTAGTGCAGTTCATTATATCATATAGTTTTGTGAGTTGCGTGCACACTATGTGGAAAAATACCAAGGTAAAGAAAACTGGTTTAATCAAATCTTTATAAATGAACCAAGCCTATTTTTTGTGTTTTACAAACTGGGATCAAGTCATATGTGATCTTTCAGAAATAGGACCAATGTTTCTTTGACCTAGCTATCAACTGATATTACCAGCAACCACTTGCAGAAACTAGTTGGTCTACAATCTCTATTTTGAGACTGGATTTAAAAGTCATGGCCGTGAACCTGATCTAATTTGGGGTTTCTTTCTTTCCCATTTCCTATTTTCAATACCATCTAATCCAGGGCTCAGCAACCTGCAGCTGGACAGTTGCCTGTATCCCCTGAACTCCTTTTTGTGCTTGCCAGAATTCCCCGTTGATTCCATTGCCAAATTTTAGCAGCAGTAACAATCCTGCTGAAAGTTGTTTCTAGCATTTTGAGGCAGGAAATAAAGAGATTCAAATGGAAGCTTTGAAATTGATTTAACATAATTATAAAACAAAGCAAAAACCCACCCACTCCTCAGAATCAGGAAAATTCCTGGAAGATCCCAGCTCTGCTAATATACACTCACATCTTCCCATTTTGCATTGTTGGTCCCACCCACCCAATCCATACCCTCACCCACACATATCCCCCACAACCAAAATTTGGCAATTCCTATTATAATCTGAAGCAATACAGGACTTTCTGGCATTTTGATCAGCACTATTAAAGCTATTATCCAATTACGGATTTTGGAATAATCTATGCAAGATGGAGTGATCTTGAATTCTGCTTTCCTTTCTTCCTGCCCAGTTGTTTTGAACAATAGGCGACAATCCAGCTTCTTGATCATTCTAAAAGCAGAAGTTCCCAAGAGATAAGGACCATCAAAAAGTATTAAAAGTAGCAAGTAAATACTGTAGCAGGCTAAGATGATAAGGAAATGACTGCTGTGTCAAATTTTGCTTATGCCATCCACAATACATTGCCCACTCTTCTATTTTCTATCAGCCCTGGGGGTGACACGCTATAAAGACTCAGAAAGACTTGGCCAGCCATCTCAGAATGTTAATAGTGATTAAAGCACCATCTGAAGAATAATAGAACAGCTGGGAAGAGGAGGAGGAAGGCCTTCTGCTAACCATTTGTTGGCAACAGAGATGGCATTCACTTGATTTCTTGGAACTGGCCAGCCATCAATCATAACCATGTACTTCTTCTAGCATCCAAACATGTTTTCTCTTGAAATATACCTTGCCATGTGCCACAGACAAAAAATGCCCGTGCTTCTCTTCTCCCTTTTCTCCTCCTGCTCCTTTTTATGTCATCATCTGTAGGGCTTTGTAAAGTATTCAAAAGAGACACCTTTCAACATGCAGAATCACCTCTTGTTGCCTTGCTCAAACATCCATGTCATTTGCAAAGGTGATAGGGCTGCTGCAGAACCTGTTTCCAACTCTCTCTTTCTTCCAGTGTGCATGCAAAGTAATATCCTTACATGCACATGCATGGAGACAGAGACTACAGGAGCTTCTGGGTGGCTGAATGAACTTTGAAAACAATGTATGTCTTTTTAACAGTTCAGAAAGTAGTGCCTTACATATTCCCACATTGCAAAGCAGCTTTTGAATGCAATGTACAAGGGAATATAAATAACTGAACGCCCACAATTTACTGATGATGATACCAATCTAATATTTTAGATTTAGTTCTGGCTTGTGTTAGGAAAACATGATTTGTTCCAAAAAACAGAAATTATTCTTTTTTGAAATATAAAGTTCTAAATGCAATTCTATATATGTCTAGTCAAAAGTAAATCCCGCAGAATTCAGTTGGGCTTTATTTTTAGGAATATTATATTTGTGTTTTAGACTTGATATTCATTCTAACTCCTGCTACTTCCCTTTTTGTCTGTTTACTATGTTTTAGCTATTTGGTGGCTATTTTTGTATCTTAATTTCTACCGGTAGTACTCAAGTTACAACTACAATGAGGGCCAGAACTTCTGTTGATTAAGTGAGGTGGTTGTTAAGTGAGTGTCAGTCAATTTTTACAACATTTTTATCGCAGTTGTTAAGTGAATTACCATGATCATTAAACGAATTTGCGGTCATTAGGTGATTCTGGCTTCTCCCATTGATTTTGCTTGTTGAAAACCAGCTGGGAATGTCACAAATGGTGATCACGTGACCCTGGGGCACTGCAGCTGTCATAAATACATGCCAGTTGCCAAGCATTTTAATTTTGATCACATGACCTTGGGGATTCTCCAGGGCTTTGTAAATGTGAGGACCAAGTTACTTTTTTCAACACCACTGTAATTTGAAACAGTCTCTAAATGAATGTTCGTAAATTGTACCTGTAATTTAGTATACACAGATAAGTCATATCTGACCTTCCTTTCGGTCCAACCTTCCTTTTTCTACAGATTTCATAGCATTCTTTCTGTGCCTTCTAAATCCTGTCTTGTGAGATTATTTCGTGCGAAAGAGGTTCAGGTTTCCCATGTATTGAGACGTGATGTTTCAGTGGTTGTATGCCACCTGCTAGGCTACTATAGCACTCTGGATGAAGTAGTTGTTCACTTGAACTTTCAGCCACAGGTGGTTGATAACCACTCAATCTGCTTCTAGAGACTTTTTCATTATCCTGGGAGGGGAGGGGAGAGATGTAAACCAGTATATGTTAGGTTAAATATTTCAAGACTGCCACTATTCACTTATCATTGTATTACCACAGCTATTATTACTGTTAATAATAATAATATAGTCACCTTTTTCTTACCTTTGTTGCTCTTCAGAGCTTTCAGTCTGGGTAAACCACAGTGATTATTCAGCTCTTATTTCTTTCTAAGCAGCCGTGCCAATACCAAATGGGTGTTGTCAATACCTTTGAGCAGACAGACTTTAAAAGTCTCTTCCTGGGTGCCTTTTCTTTGACCACAGTAGAACTGCCTGCTGTTTTTCTTCCTGTGGCTTTCAACCTCCTGGGCAACAGAGATCATCAAATAATAAGACACAGTCATCCTGTAGTTATTCCTTAAATGCACCTTATCAACTTTAGTTTTCTTTAAAAAAAAAAAGCAAAGGATTGATAAAATGCATGATGAAACCTAAATAGAATATTCTTTTCACTTGGTCCTTGCTGGCTGCTTCCTATATCCTGTATATCTAGGAATTGTTCTTTGAGGGAAGGGAAAACCAGCCAAGATCCTTTTTGTTTTAACATACATATTAATCACAGATAATTGAAATTCTGGAAATAAACCACTATGAAAGTTTTAAGCTCAGAATAATGGTTTTATAAAGAGAACAACATTGGAGAGGGAAAACTGCATGTTTATTTTGAAAGGAAATGATGATTTCATCATGGTGTCTTGAACTTTTTTCTGCTTTTTATCCATACTTAAACAACTTCCCCTGTAATTTTTTCAAAAATTGGAAAGATAGCAAAAGCGATCTTATGAAGGGTTAAGCAGATTTATTTATTTTATGGGGCATTTTGTCAATCGTGTTGTAAAAAAAAAGTTTGGAGGCTTGGAGAAAACAGAAAACAGAATCAAATCTATTTGGCTTTTGTTTTCTCAAACTTTAAATCTATTACTGTATATATTAACAATACTGAGTAAGCTTTAAAAGGGGCATAATGCAGTCAGTTATATGAGAATTGGCATTTTTACTTTTGTGTATGAAACATGGTGCAATACCCAATTGTGCTACATAGGACAAAATCCTCTTTAAATGTCTGTGGAGATTCTCAGTCACAGTTGTCCCAAAGATGCTTTTTGAAGAGGCAATTTGGACTTTCTTGTGAACAATGACTGGTAGCTGTCCACAGTTTCAGGCAGAAATTTGTCCAGCTTTATCTGTAGATGCAAAATCCATTTTATTGCATATTGCTTTGCTATGGACCCTCCACCTAATGTAATTCCTTCTAATTCCAAATTACTTCTGCTCTGTTTGTTGAAGTCCTGGCTTGTCATTGTTCCTTTAAAAAAATCGATAAGGTTAATCTAAAGTTAGCCTTGATCCTAAGTTGTGACCATTCTAAATGACATTGACTTTCCTGATTTGCTTTAAATATGACTGAATCTACTCCATACAAATAAACTTTCTCCTGTATATGATGCACTCTTTGCTATTATTTTTTCATTTCCAGGTAATGTTTACAGAAGAAGATGTTAAGTTCTATTTAGCTGAGCTGGCCTTGGCTTTAGATCATCTTCATGGTCTGGGTATTATATACAGAGATTTGAAACCGGAAAAGTAAGTTAATATGGAAACACATTAGTTGAAATGAAGTTACTTTGTTGTAGTCACAAAATGTACATTAAATTATGCAAGATCTAATAATCATTCTACCGCCTAAATTGTCTGTTCCAAAATGAGCAGGCAGAATTCCTCCAAACAAACAAACAAAAAGTGCCACACCCACTCTGATGATTGACATCTCCAGCTTCAGGAAAGATAATTCTCTCTACTGCAAAGAGTGTATTTTTAGTGTATTAAGAATAAAAGAGAAAGTACATGCAACTATTTATGAATGATTGGTAGGCTTGTAACATACATAATACTTCTTAGTCAGGTAAGATGTTTCGCAGACTGTCAAGAAAATAAATATATTGCATCATCTGGTCAAGAGTAAGATAGATGATGAGAGAGAGATTATTGAAGCCCGTGGAAGCTCAACTAGGATATTTGTTTGAAGAGTCTAAATGTTCAATATATCTCATGTAGAGGGGATTATTTCAGGGGCAGATTCTGAAAATGCATTTTTTTTTTAAAAGTTGCCTGTAAAAACATGAGCATATTATGAATTGTTTTGAGGCATACTGATCTTAAAAAATGCATTCCATTAAAAGTTAATGTCATTCTCATTGTGCCCTGAGAGATAAATATCTGCCTCTATCTAGAATCAAACTCACAGCTTCCTTATTGTGAGGCAAAAGCACCACCCATAGTCCACTGCACCACTCTAGAAAGAAAGGTCACTGTGTTCTTCCCATATTTGGCATAGGCCATACTTTTGCCTGTTCCTTGCCATGCTGACCAATTTCCAGTAAATACTTTTCAGATTATGCTACTTTTCCATTGCCTGAGCTTCGTTTAAATTACCAGTGACAACATCACTGCCTCTTTTAGGAAAAAATAGAAGGGCTGATAAGCCTTAGAACGAAAGAAAAACAATGTAGATTCACTGTCTCTTTCTTACAGGAGGATCAGTTGCTGTTGGTGTTCTTTGAATTATCTATAGATCAAAAGATCGCAGAACTGGATTGTTTTCTTAAATATAGTGTTATTGAGAAACAAGTGGTGCAACTGATATACAATCATTATTCAAGGAAGCAAGATTTGTCAAAAGGCAACACATTAAGGACAAAATATTATTTATTAAATAATAGTAGCGACAGCTGTTAGTGTTAATTATTCATTTGCATGCAGTGACAGTTTCTTATCAGCCTGCCTTAGTTTTATAGAACACCACTTCCTTTCAAGTTACTTTTCATGACAAAAGATAACTCTACCTAAAAAAGAGACTGTAATTTTCTTTTTCAAGCAACAAATCTTGAGATGGGAGAATTATGTACTGTATCTCTTCTTAATTTCATTCTTAAAGAATGAATATAAACAAATTTGAAGAATGTATCACTACACATAGGAGGAGGAGAGGAAAATCAAGAATGTTGTTTGTCATTGTTCAAGTTACAAATTACCGTTCTAGGCATCTGCTTTGGTTTAATATAATAACTTTTCATGATGTTGTCTTCCAGCATTCTTCTAGATGAAGAAGGACACATTAAGATTACAGGTAAGAATTATCTTTCTACAGCAGCTGTATCTGTGTTTTCTATCATACATCAACTTGATGACACAGTACCCAGCACATATGGGTTGCCATCAGGACTCATTATGAAGTATACCTCATAGCTGCTTTAATTTTAGCACTCCTAGCAGCCTGGAGCAGCCAAGATAACAATGTGCCCAACAACATTTTGAAATAGTGAATAGAAAGTATTCATCTGAGTAACTTGCAACATTGCCTCTGCAACCAGATAAGTGTGCAGGTTCAGGAGAGCTGTTTGCTTAGGTAGACATAGTCAGTCTTTAGTCCTGGGAATATATTGGACTGATGTGAGTTGAAATCCAAAACTGAGCAAGAAAGAAATAACTATGGATAAATGTACTTTTGGTGCACTAATACAGGCAGTCCTTGACTGACATTTGTTTAGTGACAGTTCAAAGTTGCAATGGCACCGAAAAAGTGACTTATGTCTGTTTTTCACAGTTAAGACTATTGCAGCATCCCCATGGTCACATGATCAAAATTTGGATGCTTGGCAAAGGGTATGTATTTATTACAGTGTCCCAGGACCATATGATCACCTTTTGCAACCTTCTCACAAGCAAAGGCAATGGGGAAGCCAGATGGACTTAACAACCATGTTACTAACTTAATAACTGTAGTGATTCACTTAACAACTGTGGCAAAGAAAACATAAAATGAGACAAAGCTCACTTAACCACTGTTTTACCTTAGCAGTGGAAATTTTGGGCTCAGTTCTGGTTGTAAATTGAGTTCTACCTGCACTTTATTTGGAATATTCAAGATAAGTAACAGTATGTAATATATTCTTTTTTTTTTTTAAGATTTTGGCTTGAGCAAGGAAGCCATTGATCATGACAAGAGGGCTTATTCATTTTGTGGGACAATAGAATACATGGCACCAGAAGTGGTCAACCGGCGAGGACACACCCAGAGTGCAGACTGGTGGTCTTTTGGTGTCCTAATGGTAAGGAGTTTTTGCAATTCGCTAATTGATTGACACATCAATACAAGAATGTAAGCTTATTGCGAGGAGCATATTTATGAGTGTGGGAATTTTTTGCATTTACATGATTCCTCTCAAGGTTATCACCACTGTGGATTAGATAAAGGCTTTGTTTAGATCAGGGGTCCCCAAACTTGGCAACTTTAAGCAGGGATGGGATCCGACCGGTGTAACTACCAGTTCGGTGATTTGCATTTTGCATGCGCTTCGCATGCACGTGCCCCTGTGAAAAGTCGTCAGCTTGCAGCCTGGACAGCTGAGCAGCACTGCTCACCCGAACAGAACGTTTTTCCTGCTTTTTCAACCGTAGCTGTGTCGTGCAAAGCAGCTGAGGTTGAAAAAGCAGGAAATAAAGGTCAGGTAAGAGCCCGCGGGGGCGCCAAAACAACAGCAGACATAGAACCAGTTCTATGTCTGCTGCTTTTCAGAGCTACTGGTTCTACAGAGCCGGACAGAACCGGTAGAATCCCACCCCTGACTTTAAGACTTGTGGACTTCAACTCCCAGAATTTTCCAGCCAGCATAGCATGGCATAGCTAGCTGGAGAATTCTGGGAGTTGAAGTCCACAAGTTTTAGGTTCCGTCCTATTAAATTCTAAAGAAGTGATCAGGATATTAGTTCTTCTAGCTCAGTATGGTTTACTGTAAGAGGCAAAGTCTTAAATAGAACTTTTTCCACACTCTAGGGATTCTTCGTCTTCAAATGAAAGCACTCAGGATTAAATCCAGAGTCTGTTTCATACAAAACTGCAAGCTGGATATCCGTATCTAAATATAAATGTGGAGTAAAAATTGACTGCAGATGTTTAGGGCCATTTCCTGTATTGTGTTAACACCAATCCTCTTTTGTCTTAAAATGTGGTTTCAGCCCTTAAAGCTCCTGCAGTCCAGATATTAATGACTTCAGTCTATAATTATACAATTGATGTAATTTTAACTAATGGACTGCATGTAATTTGTACAGTTTTTCACAGTTCTGTGGATAGTTTGGGGGGTACCAGCCACTGCTGTCTCCAAGGGCACGATGGACATTCTTTATCCTGGATGAAAAGCTGCCCTCAACCTTTGTAGGATTTTTTTGGTAGTTTCTTTCTGAATCTTGATGCTTTGGTATTTAATTTTGCATGGAGGAAGGCTATATCCTTAGGTAGAAGTAATCAATGAATCATGTGTCTACTGAAGCATTCTCATCTCTGAAATCACCAGTACAGTAATTCATTGGCGGTAAAAGTAGTATGTAGGAAGTTGTACATGCCAGACTGCTAAGGTTTTTATTCCTGTCATTTCTTGGCATTCTTACCATGTCTTGGCAACTAGCTATTGCCAAAACAAAATGTTTGTTTATTAATTTATATATTAAATAAGATTTTATCTCCTGGGTTTTTCCCAGCCTTTTTACTTTCCTTTTAATTCCAGCTACAGTACTTATTTTCTTTGCCTTAGACAGGTTTCATTGAGTCATTTGATATGTCACACAAGGCCGAATGCTGTGTTGTCTTCTTTTTCCTCCATGTAGGATTGCTACAGTAAACCTTAAGCTGGGTGTTAGCCCTTTTAAGAAATATTTAGGAAAAAACTGAATCCATACGATGATGATGATGATGATGATGATGATGATGATGATGATGATGATGATGATTGATCTCCATTCAGTTGGGTTGGACTCTTGGTGATTCTATGGGCCGGGTCTCTCCATATCTTCTGATCTTGCACTATTTTTTCTTTTTTGAGTTTTTCTATGCTCTATTTGGTGTCAGCTTTGATGGTGACATAAATAATAATAACTGCTTTCATAGCTCAGCATAATATGCCTGTCTTAGGGATGAGAATTGTTCCTAATCTGTTCTTACAGACATTTGCACCCTGGTAGTGCCTGCCCTGTCCATCTTGATACTAATTCTTTTGCCATGGAATTGACTGCAGAACTTTCCATTTTCTTATGAAATCACTTTCCCCCAGATCTCAACTTTCTGTACTGTGACTGAGTTTTTCCTGCAGTTTTTCCACTGTGCCCTCTTTTGTGGAGGGTTTACGCTCCAAAGGTGTATAATCTCTTTTTTTTTTTTTTACATCTAATCCAATTTGGAGTACGAGAGCACTAGCACTAGCATGTCTGCGTCTGCCACAGCTATGGCTTATTAGGGAAGTGCAGCATCCCCATCCCTAGCCTGCTGTTGCTAGGAGACAGGAGGGCTTTATTTTATAGACAGTTGAATTATTTTTTAAAAAGAGTGGTCGAAAGAGAGGGAAATTATATTGTCAGAGACTGGTCTTTTAAGGATTATGAAGTGGCTAACTAGTCATTCAGAAACTGGACGTTTTTGATAGAGAAACTGGAAATGCAAGTAGTTGGGGAAGAAATAAGGCATTAGAAAAAGGACAAAAGAGACCAGTTGGAAGGCAGAGATGTTAGGGAGCAACTGGATGTGGTCTGGTCCTCTTACAGCATCGTGCAGCTGAAAGTGGTTCAGTTCTCCATGAGTTGACCATTTTTGAAATGTCTGATTTTGTTCTGAGATTATGTCCTCTGTTTCTGAGGCTGAGGCTGTGTTTATGACCAAGGTTTGGTTCAGTGTTAGATTACATGGATTTTCATGCAGAAGGTAATGTGGTCTTTCTCCTCATACCATTATATTAGACGGAAAAAAATTAATGCATAAAATGCTAAGGAATCACTGTTAGTTGGCATTCATGGACTAGGTAAACCCATGGCCCAACCTAAGGATCACTATGGAATATATATTCAATAGCACTCATTCATTCATATGTGTTTAACCAGAAAACCAACAGCTTACTTCTCAACATTCACAAATTCCCATCAGTTATAGTAGCCAATTTTTACCCCCTACCCCAATGTTTTAAAATGGGGAAGTCAATAATAAAGCATCCTCATGAAGTCTTAATGAACATTTGATTAAAAGGCCTGTCTTTCATAATGCATAATCCATAATTTGGAATTTTTATTAATACCTCTCTGTTGTGCACATCTTGAAGTGCTTTTCAGGACTCTGCTGGGCAGTGTATAATTTAGGCAGTCAGTCCCCTCTCTCTGTAAAACCTTCATTCATTCTCTTTTCATCCTCTGAATTGTGATGGAGCCATTATTCAAGGCAACATCTTCAGCCCTCTAACAATAGTTGGCTTCTTTTTATGGAAGTAACCTTAGACAATGTCAGACAGCATCTGATGCCAGATTATAGAAACTGCCATCATGATGTCTATATTATTTCGGAACTACAGGAAATGCCAGAAATGTGATACAAACGGGCAGATTCATCCTTAAGTGGCATTGTTTTCCTACCCTCACATGAAGAAGGTTTTAGCTCAAGCCAAGAGTATCTACAAGAAGAGATTGTAAAGGAACTTAAAGCTGATAGGAGCAAGCCATTTAAGCAGGGACTTAGTCAAGAAGTATACAATTTAAAGATAGAAGGAAGCATGAGAAAGAAACTCATTTTAATTGTGTTTAGTATAAAGGGGGAGACAGATGAAACTAGCATTGACTTTAAAGATTCTTTTATTAAATTCTACCACAATAATAAGTATTTCTGGAATTCTGCAAGGTCTGCTTTTTAACCAGGCCTACCTGAAATGCCTAGTAGGCATGTTTTTTTTTTTAAAAAAAAGGCAAGAAAATGACTGCAGTCATGCAGTTGGAACCTGACCCTGTTTTATGTGCCTAAATCACATAGCCATAGCCACCATCACCTCCTCTCCTTCCTGCTGTGAGCTGTTACCTTTCAGAAATGTTAGAATTTGATTCCTGTTAATCACAAGGTAGAACAGTGAAAGGACTGAAATATAATATTTAATGGCATGGCTTGCAGCTTTTAATGAGAAGTGCCATGATCTCCTCAGATGAATTCACCCTCCTAGGAACAGAAGAAACCCTGGGAGACTGGAGAGGTCTATTCTCAAATCCATCAAGGAAGAGCCAAGTCCTTCTGCCTTTTGGCTCCCACGCACCTGGTACCAAGTGGTGCACTAAGTACAGGAATAATCTAGAAGTCCAAGGCTTTGAGGAATTTATCCCTAATGTTCTGTCCTTTTTCTAGAGCCAAGTTTGGGTATTTGGAAGACAGCTTCCTGAAATCCACACTGCTCTTGCATCTTTGGTCTTACCAACCATGTGGGGCTAGACAGTAATGCATAAAGCTTTGAGCAAAGAGCAGTCAACTGCTAAAGAAAAAAAATCAGTTCTAACTTTCCCTTGTACTAGCATGCCCAGAATCTGACCAGGCTTTCTTATTAGACCTTGGGATTGCTTGTACTATTTCAAGATCTGGGATTGACTTTGATTCCCACTGAAGCTTTTTGATACGGTACTTTACATTCCTCATCTTGGGTTGTAGACTATTGCATATTCTTCTTTTCTCTTGGCATATAGAAATGTGAGAGATAGCACCTAGCACTGATATACGACTTCATAGAGCTTGACAGCCCTCTCTAAGCGATTTACAGAGTCAGCATATTGTCCCCAACAATCTGGGTCTTCATTTTACTCACCTCGGAAGGATGGAAGGCTGAGGCAACTTTGAGCCAGTGAGAATCAAACTTCTGGCAGTTGGCAGACAGCCTACAATAATGCATTCTAACAATTGCACCACCACAGCTCATAATGTTGTGTCTCTTACTTGTCCTTGACAAGAAACGCTCTCTCACCTTTCTCCTCTTTCACTCTCTCTTGTCTCCATACTTGTCTTCTCCACTTACTCTTCTAAAAAGGGAGATGATTAGTTTATAGTAATAGACATACAATAGGATATTATAGTACACTGTATTTGGTGTGTGTGTGTTTCATATTACACTCCTAATGACATTCAGATTTCTAAAACTACTAAGTATGGTTAGATTTTGTTGAGCTGTTTATTTTTCCTCTCTCCTCCCCCCTTCCATATACCTCGTTAAACTTTGGGGATTCTGCTGATAACATTTATTTTTCATTATTTGGTCTACATGCAGGTCGTATTTAGAAAATCTGTTCTTAATCTGCTATTGATATATAGACTTGTGTACCCATAAAATTAGGTCACATATGGATTTTGTAGTCTCTGTCATGCTGTTTTTCTTCCTATGTTGGTTTGATCTGTAATGTAAGTTGAACTTTTAAAATCAACAAATATTTTGCATAGTAATTGTTAGTGTTTGGGGATTAACCCCTAGCAGAGTATTGCAGCAGTAGT